TCAGCAAACTTTCCCATTAGAAGGCAGCAGCCTGGCCAGGGCCCCACGATACCACAAAATCCCAGCAATAACCTTTCCCCACTGTGAAAATGAAAACTGATTTCCAGCCTTCGGTTTCTCTTGTCTCAGCTGCTAATCCATGAAGCCCTTTCTTTATCTGCTGCAACTTTTATCTCTTTGACAGCTCTTGTGGTGCCAAAGCTTTGCTGAACCCCAGGTATGTGATACACATGCAATCACCTCCTCCAGCATATTCACTGACTGCTTTAAGGGGTGTGAATGCCTTACAAACTTTGATTTCTTTCTGCACAAAGTTCCTATTGCCCTTTCCCTGGGGTATCAGATCTTCCCAGTGCATCCCAGGTATCAATATTTACCTGAAMTTTATTTTATTTTCACTTGTGTACTGCAGGCCAGACTTAAACTCTTAAAGTTTAAGTTCTTAAAATTGCTTCTCCAGTGGCAAGTTTGTTTTTTCTCATCCTACAGASAAATACAATCCTTCATATAATTTTACAAATATAAATAGATATTGGTATATTTCTACAATGTTTTGTAGAATATAGTTATACAAATACAATTATTCATAAAATCACATTTGAATCTCTTTCCAAGTGTTGGACCAGTGATGTCTCACTCTGGAAATTTGTTCCTCTCTCMGTTTATCTTTTTATTCCAAAACCTCTCTTGGTAAAACTCGTACTTGAGAAGCTCATCAGACCCATTGCACAAAAGGAGAGTTTTTCTGTGGGAGTCTCAAGCCCAAACACATGGGGAGCTCATTTACAGAGTTTTATTTCACCCCAAACTTCTCATTTTCACTCCCTGCTGGTCCTGGGGATCCCCTGGTTGACTTTCAGTCTCTACTCTGTTTTTTACGTGCATTTTTATGCCTCTGGTAAACTGCTTTGAAATATCTTCTCCCCTCTCCTTGCTGTGGTTTTGTATTTGCCATATTTGTGCTATGTTCTATTTCCCTCRTTTCTGACACCTATCTTTTCTGTTSCTAATAACCTTTCCCACTCTGCTACTTAACTTCTTTGCTTTTCAAAAACCCTTTAGGGTCTTTATTAAGGAGTGTTACATATTAAGCTGGAGCCTCTACCATGTCTTTAAGCTGCTACCAGGTATTTGAAAGTATTTTATCTTTTTAGCTTTTCCACTTATTTTTTGGTGCATTTTTTCCTCTATAATTTTTAGGTGGTGCTATGAGTCAAGACCATAACGTGCAAAATTGAGACAATAGGAGAGATTCTCAAATAGTGTAAGGAAAAGCAAATCTCTTTTAGCCTGACCTAAGTTAGGCACTAAATCCCTGSAACACAGGATTGAGAGGCTCCCCCAAACATACTAAGCTCAAAATTGCATCATTATGTGCAGTCACATCTTATTTTTCTCGTTGTTTATTTATCAAATCTACTTTTAAAGCACCTGCTGCTCTTTCTTCTGCTTTTTCTACTTGGTGGCTGCTTGAGAGCCTCACTCACCTGCCAGCTGGAGATTTTCTAGCCTGAAAAGTTTGCACACATCCAGGTGATACCTGCTGGATCCTAACCTTAGAGCTGACAGAGTTTTTCTCCTTTCCTGGGRTTTATTCCCCTCTCTGGAGCACCAAATCCAAGCTGATGTAACCCCAGAGTTTAATTTTCCCAGCCCCAACCATCCACACCGGTGGCTGAACATAAACCCGATCCCAATCCTGGAATTCTTCCTGTGAATGGGGATAATTCAGGGCTGGGAATGGAAACATTTATCCCTCTTTATGCCCCATAATGGAAACATTTATCCCTCTTTATGCTCCATAATGGAAACCTTTATCCCTCTTTATGCTCCATGTGCAGTGAAAGCTGCAGGTGAGTCAGGGGCTCTTTGGACTCACAGAATCCCAGGATGTTTTGGGTTGGAAGGGACCTTAAAGCTCATCCCATTTCACCCCTAACATGGGCAGGGACACCTTCCACTATCCCAGGATGCTCCAATCCCTGTCCAACCTGACCTTGGACACTTCCAGGGATGATACAGCCACAGCTTCTCTGTGCCAGGACCTCCCCACCCTCACAGGGAACAATTCCTTCCCAATATCCAACCTAAACCTCCACTTTTTAACTTTAAAAACCTCTTTCAGTACTTTTAAAGCCCATTCCCTGAGCTCCGATTCATAAAAGCACTCTYGGAGTCCAGCACATCTGGAAGTACTTTGCTGAATTAGAGACTTATTAATCTTCCTGCATTTAAAATAACTTTATTATTAAATTTTAGAAATAAATGGGTATGTACTATTTCTTCATGTTTGGGATTTTTTTTTTTCAAACATTTATTTTAATGCTCGCCTGGCTTGGCTGGATATCCCTCCATGCAGCCAAGCAGCTGCTCGTGCTAAACCTGGGACAAAACTCAGTGTTGATGCAGCCCAGAAGGGGCTCCAAGTTTTGTGATTCCCACTTTTAGAGGAAAACAACCAAACCTTCCTTCACTGCCCTAAAAAGCCACCCTGAGACATCCCAAGTCCAAAAAGGAAGGATATTTTGAGCTGAAAAGTAGCAKAGTGCAGCTGTAGGTCTATTTTTCAATTATTTCAATGGGTTTGGGGAAAAATGCCAGCTGAGTGTTGCTGGTACTAGTTGCAAAAGGAATTTTTGGAGCTGGGGGAAATAGAGGGGCTGGGATTTGGGGTCAGGATCTGTGTGGGACAGGGAGCTGTGTAATGTGYGGCAGAGCTGCTCCTTCCTCCTGGCTCTGCTTCATTAAACATAAAAATGTTAAAATTTAAACAATTCTAAGCAGGTTTCCAGCGCTGGCAGCTATTGGTGCTTGGGAATTGAAATGAGAAAACCTAAAATTTGGGAGGAAAAGACTCAGCAGCTCTCAGAATGTGGGGCTGGGGCCGATCTTCCCACAGACTAAAACACCCTGTGGGCAGAGTGGAGAGGTTGGACACGGACAAATGAAGATATTTCCAAGAGAAAAAAAAAAATATGGATCAGCCCAAGCTCAGGGTTTGTGTCACAGTCTCCCACCACAGGTGCATGGCAGGTGAGTGCCTCCTCATCCCAGCACAGCTCATCCACATCCTACAAACACCACAGATGTCAATACTCCCCTGTCAATCCCACTGGGATCTTTTTCCTGCAYGTTCATTTTTCAGCAATGCCAAGAAGAGCATTTTCTGTATTCAGTAATTTTTTTTTTTCAGCAGTGCAAACCGCTGCATTTTCTGTAGTCATGGAGTGGGAGTCATTCCTGTGTTTAATGACAGCAAATGCTCTGGTTTGTGTGCTAGAAAAAAAAAAAAAAAACCAAACAAAAACGTTGGTAGAAGGGCACAGAACTACCCAACTTCCCCCTGTTTTCCAAAAAGAGCAGCGTCAGAAAATCAGAAAGTGGAAAAAAGGGGCAAAATCAAAGCTTCAAGGTCTTTCCCCATCCCTCCATCCCCAAGTGGGAGCAGCAGAAGATGCTCTGAGTCCATCCACATCGCTGCCTTGTGGAAGCCCAGCTGAGCTGAGCTGCTCAGGAGCATTTTTTGGAAGAGTGCTGGAGTTTGTTAATTCTGTGTGAAAGCCAGGCTGCTGCGAAGGTCTTGCTTTCAGGGCAGAAATGCAGGAATTGAAGAGGATGCAGCCGGGAGATTTGTTTTCCACACTGTTTTTGKGGGATGTATTTGTTTCCTTTGACAGTGACTTACGGCCCGGCTTYCTTTTCTATTTTGTTAGAGCAATAAAGAAGATAAATCTGTAATAATTCAGCTCCCTGTCTTTAATAAAATCTTGTCTTCTTCACACTGCCCCTGGGAAGATCTCCATTTTGCAGCCCTTCGAGATTGGTTGTGTTTTTCCATTTCTCCTCTTCACCAGAACGACAGAAAAATAACATTACCGGGAAAATTAATAGCTAAATACAATTTCTGACAGAAGGAAAGATTTCAGCGGGAGGAGCAGGACCCTGAGTGTGACTGTGCCAATCCCAAGGATGCTCTTCAGCAAAGGTGGATGCTCCCATTGCTTTTGTCTTTGATAATGGGTTGGAGACCTCAAATATCAGCTAATGAGAAKTTATAAGCTTGACATGGATTAACAAACCCATCTCTGTTGGTTTTGRGCTTTAGTTGGGTGCAGAGGACAAAGGAGGAGAAAAGAGGGTGGTGATGGGGGAGACACTGAGGCAGCAGCAGGCTGGGAGGAAAAATCCTTGGAAGTCACAGAATGGGTTGGGTTGGGAAGGACCAAAGAACAAAGGGGATGGGGGCATTTTTGTCCCCTCAGAAGAAGACAGTGGACAGAAGAGGCTGAAATGTGGGATCCATGGCTCCTGCACCTCCAGGGATGGGAGACAGGGGATGGGACRGGAGAGCAGCCACAAGCGCAGAGCCTGACTGTGGCCCCATTGCTGAGACCCCATGGAAGGTGTAGGGGGTGGGTGGTGGCTGAGTCCCTCCCTCTGGGACAGGAGGTAACCCAGAGGCTCTGCACAGATCTCTAAASCCAAGGGGAGGTGATTCAGAACCCCCGTCCCAGGCAGGAGGCGACGCAGCCCCGCAGCGACCCATACATGGGGCGGGTGGGTTCTAGAGACACCCCATGGATCTGGACACACCGCGGGGGGCAGGAGGTGATCTCCAACTCCACAGGGGACGTGGAACCCCAGCTGAGGTGACTCAGACCCCCCGCTCTGCACCCCGCGGTGACCCCGACCCCCGCTCCGCCGCCGCCGGTGCGCGGCCCCTTTAAGAGCGGCCGGGTGTTCTTTACTCTATGTTTACATAACACGGCCGGGCCGTACCACTGCCGCCAGCGCCGGGGGGGGGCGGCGCGCGGGAGGGGGCGGAGCGCACCCGCGCCGAGCCCCGCCCCGTCCGCCGGCAGTTAATGGGCGCGGGGAGGGCGGGGCCACTCGCAGCCCCGCGGGGGGGGGACGGCTCCGTTTGGCTCCTCCCGCCCCCCCCGCCGCGGCGGGTTGGTCCGTCCCCCCCGGTGGCTCCGCCCCTCGCCCCCCCCGCGGTGTAGTGGCGGTTGCCGGTGGCCGGCGGCGCAGAGCGGAGCGGAGCCCGCTCGGGACGCGGCCCCGCGGCGGTGGCGGCTGGGACGGGGGCGGCCGGTGTCATCGAAGGGCGGCCCCATGTTTTCGCCCAGCCAGGAGGAGCTTTGCGCGCTAAACAAGGAGCCCGTCAAGTACGGGGAGCTGGTGGTGTTGGGGTGAGTGCCGGGCAGGGGTGCCGGGGTGCGGGTGGAGCGGGGGGGGGGGAGGAACGCGGCGGTCCCGGGGCGGGGGCAGCGGCGGGGGCTCCCCCTCACGCTCCGGTTCATCGGCCGCCGCGTCTCCGCGCCGTGCGGGAGCGCTCGGAGGTGGAGGGGGGGCGAGGGGGCGCGTGGCGCTTCCCGCCTTCCCGCCGGCCGAGTGCGCAGCGCGGCCGCTGCAGGCGGGGGGGTGATCCCGGTGCCTCAGAGATGGATGGGAGGGTCCCGGTGTGTCCCGGTGCTTGAGGGAGAGCGAGGATTGATGGACAAGGGGGAGTCCCGGTGCTGGAGGGAGAGCGGGCAGTGATGGATGGGGGGGTGTCCCGGTACCTGAGGGGAGCGGGGAGGGATGGAGCAGCGAACGGGGGGAGGTCCCGGTGCGTGACGGAGCGCGCGGTGCGGCCGTTGCGGGGTCCCGGTGCCGGAGGGGAGCGGGGATGGATGGGGGATGATCCCGGTGCCGGAGGGGAGCGGGGATGGATGGGGGATGATCCCGGTGCCGAAAGGGAGCGGGGATGGATGGGGGATGATCCCGGTGCCTAAAGGGAGCGGGGATGGATGGGGGATGATCCCGGTGCCCAAAGGGAGCGGGGATGGATGGGGGGTGATCCCGGTGCCCAAAGGGAGCGGGGATGGATGGGGGACGATCCCGGTGCCGGAGGGGACCGGGGATGGATGGGGGATGATGCCGGTGCCGGAGGGGCCCTTGAACAAGTCCCGGTGCCGGATGCACGGACGGACTGCTGCTGTCGGGCATCCGCGGCGGGGCTGGGGATGAAACTTCGTGCGGGGCCGGGGGTGCGGGTTATGACACACAAACCCCGCTGCGATCCCCGGCCCTCCGCCGCTGGCTCCCGTCCTCCTTGCAGATGGCAGGGAGATGACTTTGGATCGAGGAGCGGGAGGCGGGGGGAGACACGGGAGGAGGAGGAGGAGGAGGAGGGTGAAGCACTTATATTCAGATTCGTCGTGGAAATGTTTATTTTCTCGGCTTGATATGGATCTTAAAGTAATCCGCTTGGCATTACGCTGTTGCCCTGCTGTTAAAGCTCGCAGCCGCTCTGCTGAGCGCCGCGGAAGCAGATGAGGGAGAAGCGTCTAAGCTGTGCTTGCTGAGAGCCCTCCTGAACCTTAGAATAGATGCTTTTGGTAGCTTAATACGTGGTAACGTATGGTTAATGAAGTAATTCTTTAGTCCTAAACACAACAGAAAGGTGTCGAGCCAGCCGCGAAGCAGAACAGTCACAGCCTGGCTGTGTTACTCAGCCTCCTCCAGATCTGGTACATATTTGCTGCAAGGTCGTGGAAAATCCTATTCTGGTTTCTTAGGGATTTTTATTTCGTTTTGGCCCTTCAGAAAGAGCCGTGTTCACCTTTGCAGAATAAGTGTTTGAAAAAGAGCAGTCCAGACTGGGTACTCGTATCCAATAGTGCACCTTTTTTTCCTTAAGGGATGCTAAATGTTTCCTGTCACGAGACTGGGTCAAGATGCAGTTACCGTGGAATAAAACACAGCTGCTGCCATGAGCGTGGCGTAGCTGGTACTTGAAATCCTTGAATTTGTCCCTTGATTCGTGAGAAATACCCATATCACACTAAATTTAATAAAGAAACGTTCTTACTGTTTCACTTGTGGAAATGGAGGGTGAGCTCAGCTGTGCAACACTGTCTCTAACAATAAAGTCATAGTATAATGCAGAATCTTTAATTAAATTAGAGTGCATAAATTGATGTTGTGCTGCAGAGGCTCTTTGTGCACAGCTGGAAGCATTTTCCTTTCTGTTGCTTTACTATTTTTAGCAGCAGTTGAAAGTGCAGAAGTATGAAATGTTTTGGCTCTGATCTTAACCTGGCAAAGTCTGGTGTGCTTTGCCTTTAATATGGGGACGCACTGATCTTGGCTTATCGGTTCTGCTTGGGGTCTTGATCTTCCCTGTGTGTTGAAACACGCTGATAAAATCAAAACAAAATGTATAGGGCTGAGTTTAGGTCCTGTTTGTGTYTCAGCTGCTTTCTAAAACTACTGAGGTTGCATCTTGTAGGTGTAACATGTACTGAAAAAGCAGKCAAGATCCTCTTGTCCTTGGAGGGCAGACAGGAACGAGAAGTCTGTGCACGGGAGCTGAGTCTCTCTGGTCACGGTGTTTCTGCTGAAACAATGGGGCATTGGCTGTCGCTGCTTACACAATGTGCCTGGGAGTGTGATGTAGGGATAGGTAGACGTGATGGAAGCAGTCCAGGAAATCTCATGACTTCGGTAACTGTTTGTTAATTTTTGGATCGAAGAGTGGTGTTTTAAGAGCCATTTGCCACTTCAGGAGTTGATTGCTGCATGTCCTWACAGAGATGTCTTAAATGTTGTTTGTAGTGCCATAAATAATGCAAACATCTCTTTCTTTGGTGACTCAACATTTGTGACTAGGTACTCTTGKAACAGCTTAAGCTGTTCAGTATGCTAAAAAACCTCTTAATACCTGTTTTGTATTAAAATCTTGTAATCTGGAGTTTCATTTAAATAAGACAATGTAAATCTGCTCTCCTCCCTGTAGTGAAACTGAGACCTGGGGACCAGCAGAAGCGTAGTGTTGCAGCTCCTGTTACAACTGCCTGATTAAAATTGATAGCGCAGCTTCGCAGCTAGATTAAAAAAAAAGCAAGAAAAAGCTGTTTGGAGACACTGTGTGAGTTGTTGTTTTTTTTATAAAAAAAGCCTTGATTGTGATGTTGATGAATAACTTGTGTCTTGAACTGTGAGACTTTTAAATTAGGTGGTGAAAAGGATGATGAACAAAGGAATTGGCAAACCTGGCAAACTGCTGAGCTCCTGTTTTTAAGATGACAAAACTTTCCCTTTATCTTTTGCTCTCACTCTGCCTTAGCACTATCAAAGTGGGGTTGCTGTACCTTGACCTTCAGATCGAGGGGAAGGCATTTTTTTGGCAGGGGGTGGCTCTCCCAGCAGGGCGCGTTCCTTATTGTCTCGCAATAGTTGTGATTGCTTAGTCTGCGCCTTAATGTGATCCCCAGTAAAGCCCAAGGCRTTTTGTGTCGGTCGGTGCAGCAAACACATTCCTAATAACCTTCTCCCAGCACTGTGCTACGTCTGTGCTGTCAGTGATGTGGCAGCGTGTGTTTGGTTAAGATTTTGTCGAGGTTTACATAATCAATGTTGTAGTGAATAGAAACAGTTTATGTAAATCGAGCCAGACAGGTCAAGATGGCTGGTAAAGAAGAGATCATCTGCTTGATTGTGAATCTGCTTGTGTACATCTGCTCGTAGCATCATCTGTTCACAAAGGCTCTGGATTTCTTGGTGAAGCAGAAACATTCATATTCTAATTCTTTTTGAAGAAAAAAAAGCAGCTTTGTTTGAAGTCCTGTCAAAGTAATGGCTCATTATATATTTCTTGGAACGCAGGGCTGGAGGGAGTTGGGGAGGAGATGCTGAATGCAGTAAAAAGTACCCGAATAGCRTCAGGGTGTTAGTGTGTTTGTCAGTAGCTTTTGTTTGATTTATCTGGTGTCTTGTTAATATTTGGGGGTTCATGTCCTGACCCCTTGCTCCTGGTACCCCTTTGTCCCCCAGCTTTGAATCGTGCTTGGAACACTTTATTTCCAGCATAGTCTTTATTCCAGCCTGCCTTTCTTAATGCATGCAGGAGCTGGTCCCTGGCTGCGGGGGGTGACTGTCACTGAAGCCAGGTGTCACTGGCCTGGTTCCCTTAAATCTGTCTTCCTTTGGGACTGCATGATGGGGATGGACAGCTGTGACCTCTCAGGAAAGTCACTTGATTAAAATGATGTAAATTGAAGGAGGAGCAGCAAAGAGACAGGAGCTGTAGTCAGTGGCTGAGTTCTGTAGCAATGAAAGATTTGTACCTGACACTGAATGCTTTGTTGTATGGCAGTTTTGAATGGGGTTTCTGGTAGCTGTGTAAATGAAATATTTCATACTAATCAAAGGTTTCCTTGGTCTTTGCTACTCCTTAGCAAGGAGATGCAGCCTGGTGCGTCCTCAGCTGAGGAAGACTTTGTCTTGCAGACTTCATGGGTTTTGCAATATCTAATAAATTTTTTAACTTACTAGACAAAACTCTAATGGCTGTCCTTCAGTCTGTTAGTCACTTTGAAATTGCTGTTGGCATTTTACGTGTGAATTTTCAATTGTTTACCATTAAAATAAATTAATTGGTTAATTTGGAGGCTTCAGTGCTGAAAGAAGCTACTGGTGAATTTCTATGTGAGCGTTGTTTAATGTGGACTGTTGGACATCCTTGAATAAACAGGTTTCAGTTCTGCTTAAATTTAACCTTTTGAGAAAGCAGAATGAGAGGATGGGTCTTGGAGCAACCTGGTCTAGTAGAAGATGTCTCTGCCTGTAGCAGGGGGTTGGTACTGGATAGTCTTTAAAGTCTCTTYCWACCCAAACCACTTYRGRATTCTATGAAAATTCTCGCCTCTTGTTTACAGTGATGCGTTTTGTGGTCATTTTTGGGAAACTCTTCTCATTGATGGACCACTTTATACTTGAAGCTACTTTAGGTCTGAAACGGTCTTTTTTTTTTGTTAATCTGAAGGGACATGCAGTTTTAAATTTCTATTTTTCATAGTGGCTTTTTCTGACTGATCAAAGTTGCCACTACCACTACCTCCTTGCAGGGTAAAAAAAGTTTTTGGAGTGTTTTCTGCTTATAACACATTTCCATTTTGTAAACTTACATGTTTAGCTTTTCACGTAACTTTTGTCCATCTCTTGCTGTGCAGTTCAGGAAGAAGCTGATGCAGGTTTCCAGTGGTGTTGACAAATGCAAATGCAGTGTGGTATCCCTGCCTGTCCTTGATTGCTGTTTGCTTCTGTGGATGGACTGAAGGAGGAGGGAGAGTCATCCTGGCTGTGGAATTAAACTTGGTTTGCACAGAGATAGACTTGATGTCTGATACCTGGCTGAGGCTTTGTT